CCCCCAAAACCCCAAAACCCCAAAACCCCTGCTTAGTAATTATGAATTGATTCTATTTTTAAGTTAACTTTATTTAATGGAAGGAAGACTTCCATTGTTGCAATCAGGCACTTTCTTAGAGATATTGGGGAAGTTGGTTGGGCCTGATCCACCATTTCCATGCATCTTCTTCATTCCTTCTACCATATTTTTGTTCGGTTTGATAATAGGTCTTCCATCTCCATTGGGAGGAACGTTAAATTTGCTGAACTTGCTTGAGAAAAAGGAATCTGTTTCAGCAGTTTCAACCTCATCACGGTATTTAAATGAAGCCTTTATTTTGTACATCATCTTATTGCTGAGTCTCTTCTCGTCTCCAAAGCCGTTACTAGAACCATAGCTATTGTACATGTCGTATTCTGAGTGATGGTCATTCATTGGCTTTGGCACTTGAATGCTATTCATAATAGAATCTGGATCATTAGGTCTGAAAGATCCAGCTACAGTTTGTCTGATAGACTGAGACATCTTGCTCTTTTCAAGCCTCTGGTTAAGCTTAGACTTAGCCAGATTCATGATGGTGCTATCTTGATCATCTATGTCCTTGTATCGACTGTTTTTCATCTGCTTGTTCGAGTATTGGCTATCTCTAATTCAGCCAGAACTTGATTGCATAAAATTAGGAGAATTTGTTCTTTCAATAGAAGGCATCTTCATCAAAGGAGGAGGACTTGATGGGTTATTCTTGTTCTTCATCTTCTGTAGGATTCTTTTCTCAATACTTTTTAAATTCTTATCCAACTTAATCGGGTTCCCTGAATTTTTCTTTGGGGAAAGCTTTATCTTCAATCCCGATTTCTGTAAAGAGGAGTTAAATGAGCCACTCGGATGGCTGATCATACTTTCCACTCGGGTATTTATAGCATCATCTAACTCATTTTCGTTATTCCTCGACTTGGGCTTGACTTCAGAGTAATTTCTAGGATCCTATTTTATATCTTAACATAATTTTCCATAATAAAAGAGGTGGGTAAATACAACTAAAGTAGGAATTATATTTTTCTACTACTTTTAACAAGTGGTTTATTCGGTAAATTTCACTTTTGAGAAAACTCATAAGTGTGTCCAAGAGCGAATATTATAATATTACCTTATTGTCATGTCTCCTATTACTATTATTTTGAAATCTGTCTCTCATTAAGCATCTGGTATCCCTTGTCGAGGCCCTGCTTGAAGCTATCCTCATTGAATATTTTCTGAGTGTTCTGCTTGAATTTCTCGTAAATACTGCCACCTTCACTTTCTTTACCGTGTGAGCTCATTTTTATCGGGAGTAAAGAGTTAATATCAATTATTATTAAAGCTGAGGGGTTTTGGGGTTTTGGGGTTTTGGGGTTTTGGGG